ATGAAATTTCTCTAAAAACTCCTGATAAACGCACGTTAGTTTTCAGCTGAAAATTGATCTTGTTTACAGTAAGTCGTCTTCCACAGCTGTAGCCAAACCCAACTATAAAGCGACAATGAAAAGTGTCAAAATGATGATCAAAACGATGCTAGATATGACGGTGGAAGTATAATAAAATAGTGATCATCCTATTAGTTTGTAGATGGTAAAAATTATAGAAAAACTAAAATGGTTTTATTTGGAGAAAATTTCTGTATAACGTCAGCTTGAGTATGATAGAAATAATCATTCTATATATTTCTCTCATGTGATTTGATATTTGTTGGAACTATTTTTTCTTTTCACTAAACATAGAATAAGTTTGGTTAAAGCAACAAGTAACGCTCGTCGCTGCGACTCGCTTAACCCTCGACTGAATATAGTCTACTCCTTATCTATCGCTTCTCATGAAATTATATATTCAGAACTATCACTTGACGAATACACGTATACAAAAAACTTATACATTATTCTTATAGACGATCCTCTTGTAAAAAAGACCAACTCTTTGAATAGCGTATAGATTTTAGAATACGTGTGTTTGTTCGACGATAATTATCAATACAGAATTCGATGAGGAAACGATGGATAATGAGTAGACTATATTCAGTCGAGGGTTAAGCGAGTTGCGGCGACGAGCGTTACTTGTATATAATAGTGGGGGTTTTATTTGACTATGATAGGAAAAGTTTTTTACGAAAACAGAGAAGGGTCTGTCTTCTCATAGGGGAGCATAGGGGAAAATGAGGGTGTGGGTGTGGGTGTGTGTGAGTGTGTGGGAGTAGGTGTGGGTGTGTGGGTGTGGGTGTGGGTGTGGGTGTGGGTGTGGGTGTGGGTGTGGGTGTGGGTGGGTGTGGGTGGGTGTGGGTGGGTGTGGGTGTGGGTATATCTTTATCTTCTTCATTCACCCGCACACTACGCTCACACGCCTACACCCACACTCACACGCCTACACTCACACGCCTACACCCACACCCACACGCCTACACCCACATGCCTACACCCACACGCCTACACCCACACCCACACGCCTACACCCACACCCACACGCCTACACCCACACCCACACCCACACCCACACCCCCACACTCACACCCACACCCACACCTACACCCACTCTTTCGATCTGAAAGTTCGTAATTTTTTTATTGGCTCTCATTTTCGACTACTATTATTGAAATACTCGTACGAACATGTTTTTTGTTTTTGTCATCTTCTTATCATGCAACCAAGTTAGTTAGGTAGTAAAGAAAAAAAATAAATTGCACCATTATCGAGTCATACATAGTAATTTTGTTTTTGTCGTTCTGTTCTTCTCGAATATTCTATGTTGACAATTGCTTGTGCAATATCATTGTCAACTATATAAAGTCGTGTCTCGTCAGCCTTTTTTCTTCATTCCAATTTTGGTCATCAACCGCGTGTCGTGCAACAAAAGCACACATCCGGCAGCTTAACAACCAACTCGATGGCAGATTGGAAACGTGTGCTCTCGCTAGTGAAAGATTTGCTTATGCAATAATATTCGTACTTCGAATTGACTCGAACTTTTTATGTTTGAGTTAGAAACCCGGCTTCCGGTGTGTTCCGATCATAACGAAACCCTGCTATCGTCGCTTAATATCGACGCTTTGGGTCGATCGGACATGTCGAAGGCCACCAATATTGAGATTACATTTGTTTGTGTTGGTTATATTGAATTACACAACAATATATGAAATCTCATTGGTGTATCTTCGATGTTTTTGACATTCGCCCATGAAGCCGAGTATCGAAGAGACGAATATTAATATCCGTAAGTCAAATCTATGTCATTTTCTGAGAGCACATGTTTTTAATCTATACATGGAAGATATAAAAATTATGAAGATAAATATTAGATAACAGTAAGTATTTTCAGTTTTCTTTTATATGTAAGTAAAAGATTACAATATTATGCATAAATTTGATTTACAAATTGCTAAAAATGAAAAGGTGCTCAATAGATTATTTCTTTTTCAACAATTAATTTTTTTTAATGATAATAATAAACTTCTGTTCAACATCGAAAGATCTTTTTGTTTAATTATATTGTATTTTATTTTTATTGAAATATTTCAATAAATAAATTTATTCTAATCACTAACTTATTTATTATGAATGAAATCATGGCTCTAAGAATCTTTACTTTTGTCTTCATCGTCAAAGACTTCCTACTTGGTTATATTTGATAGTTTATTTTATATAGATTTTTTTAATAATAATCAGTTTGCATTTCATTTAAATACACTACACATGAAGAAAAAAACGCATATGATAAAGTTTTTGATTTCTTACTAGATGAAGCTATGGAACAATCCATTTTCTATTATTGAGTTATATTTAAAAGCCGTCCTAACAAAACAAAAGACAAAAGATATGAAATTATATCACGATTGTTATCATTTATTATTCAGCTTTTAATCATTTAGAAACTTTTTACAACAATATTGTATTACATTCTTTTGTCAAAAAAAAATTCTTCTTCCATGTGCAAAGAAATCAAACGAACTCACTAAAATAACTGATAGATCATCATGAATCGGACTAACTATTGACACAATTTTTCAATCATTTACGTTCCATGTAAAATATTCCTTTATATAGCAAAACGTCGAAAATTTTAAGCTCAACAAAACTATGTACTTCACTTTTAGAAAGAACTTTTCAACATATTGGAGTATACTGTCTATCCTTACTACCGAACTAAAAGCAAAACGTGAAAGGTCTTGATGAAATCATCTATTTTTCAACACTCTAAATGACAACTTTATATAAAAAATTTAGAAGACAATAAATAAAAAAAACAAATAACATTTTACATCCATTTTGAAACCTACTCAATTCTTAATGAATTTTGGCGAAAACATGTTGCACTACGGTTCATCACTCATGTAGTGCTGTAGAGAACACAAATTCTGTATTTCTTGGCGTCCAAATAAGTACTTTTCAACTAACCAGTAACTCGACAAAAAAAGTTCATTGTGAAAAAAAGAACACTATGAAAGATATTTTCAACATCCCAGTAAAAGTTGCGTCACCCGAATAGACGATAAAATTCTTTGCTTTCGAAACTTCTTCATACTTTCGCAAAGCACGAGCAAGGATGTGCCGCAGTGGGGTACCTTTTTGGATTGTCATGCAAAGGCAAAATGTTCTTGTTAAAAGTGAAGTGCTTAGTCCTATAAAGCTTGAAATTCTCTATTTTTTTGTGATATGAAAGAGCATTTTATATCAATTTAAATGAGAGGAAAATTGCTTTTATATGTAGTTCGATTCATTATGGTCCATCGTTAGAAGAAAATTAATTAATAGTAAGCGGTTAAAACAAGATCATATGATTCAAACGACTTTAAAATTTTCATCGAAATCTTTGTTGCTGAATTTCTTTTAACATATGTTGTGCACCAATAAGATGTGGGTGGGGTGTGGGTGTAGGTGAAGGTGTGGATGTGAGTATGGCTGGTAGAACAACTACAGTCGCACCCTCACCCTCAAACTCGCACCCGTACCTCACACACCCACACACGTACACTCACATACCCATACTCACACCCACACCCACATCCACACCCGCATCCACACCCACACCCACATCCACATTTCACACTCCCACCTCCACACCCATTTTGAAATAATTTTGCTCTTCTCGTATTCTAGAATTTCATCGTTTCATAGACAACTTATGAAATTCCATTGTGTGAATATGAATTTTTTCTATTGTTTACAATCAATCGTCTTGTGATCTTTACCGTGAATGTTTTACTGTTGCCATGTGCGCTTCTTCCGAATAGAATTCGTAACTGAAAAGAATGCAAAATGAAAAACGAAAAAAAAAATTTAAGGCAAAAATATTGTCGCACTGCAAAACTAACAAACGAAGTATTCGACAAGCAAGACACTCATTTAGTATAGGCGAAACTCGATGAAGTTGGAAACTACCATTAGTGAAATTTTCTTGGTGCAGTTTGTTTTAATTAATTGGTTAGTCGCCAAGTGAGTTTTATTTATGCAACTAATCGCACAGAAGTTTTATGACTTCATGGAGTTTCTTTTCTACGGAATTAGTTTAATACTTTTTTTTTCCATTGCATTTATCACTTTCCAGTAATTCAAAGACTAGAATTATTCTTATATACAACAAAAATACTGTAAGTAGTAGACTACATCTAGTCTAATAGAAAGATTTGCTCGAGATATAGTGACACAAAATATCGAATCTTCAACTAACAAAAAGGCGATGACACCTGTACATCTTATCATCATTGATCGTCAATTAACGATTACTCAAAAAGATTGTTGACGGCTAAGACAATAGAAGGATATTTTCGGAGTGAAAACTTGCATTCTTCGAAAAATTTGACACGATATTTACCTCTGGTTGTTAGGCATTAGAACTCGAATTCTATACTTATTTCACTGAAATTAACATACATCATACAGTCTTATTATCAATAGTTATTTTAAGAATTTTCATTTTCGCATAAGAAGCTATCAGATTCTTTAATCGCCATGATTACTGTTTTTGTTTACGAAAGTCTTAAAAACTAGTTTTTACTGGATAAAAGCAAACTGAGTCATTGTATTTCTCTTATAACTAATGCTTCAATATGAATTATTTTTCTAGCTGAATTAATTTATTATTTCCATCATTTGTTTTCTCGGCATCTATGTTAAATATGCTGTGCTAGAAGATCATAATCAAAACAAAAAAGGTTTATACGATCAAAAATTTTGAGTGAGTCTCATCCTTGAAGCATTAAGACTAGAAACGTCCAAAAAAGATTTTTTGAAAGGAACGGTTATATCTTAATAAAATTTATATTGAAAAATGTAATATGAAATTAGATAGTAATGAATTAAATACGGTAGCAATTGGCGTTTGTTACGTTTCAGATATTTATCATCTTAATAGTTTGTGAAAAAGCTTCTTTCTGTTGAATATGGCTACAGGAGGAAGTAAAGAAACGACAGCTCAGCGTTTTCTGCATATTACAGACGTTGCCCATGAACCACTTCGATTTATTGCACCCATCGGGGGTTATGAGAAAATGCCACTGGTTTCGCTTGAACAAGCTGTCGAACCACTTGTTTCGATTCTACCAGCTGTTCAAAGTCATGCTTATGTTTGCAAGCAAATATGTGAAAATCCTGATGATGGATTAACACAAGATGAATCTGCTTCAATTATGTTGTACACAATGGGATGGGAACCACTCGATGAATGCTTGTATTTCGTTTTGAACAATACATTACGATCATCTGAACGACAACAAAAACTTAAGCTATGGTATTTGTTTATGCGACTCTTTCTTAATGCACTTTCTCGTCTTCCATCGATATCAATACATGCATACCGAGGTGTCAAACTAGATCTGAGCAATCATTACATCGAGGGAAAGACAATCGTCTGGTGGGGCTTCTCATCATGCACAACGGTGGTTAACATTTTAGATTCGAAACATTTTTTGGGAAAAACGGGTGAAAGAACACTGTTTACATTACAATGCCTATCAGCAAAAGCTATTGGTAAACATTCATATTATCCCAATGAAGACGAAGTACTTTTGATGGCGGCTACTCAATTCAAAGTAATTGGTTGCCTTAATCAAGGTGATCTACATCTTATACAGCTGAAAGAAACCCAACCACCATTTTCCCTATTACAGCCAGTACCGGTTGCTATACCGTCACCGATTAAAGCAGTTCCCTCAAGTAAGTGAAGCCATAGAGACAACAGAAAATTACACTTGATAAACAATACCGCTACTTTTGCCGACACCGCGAAGAGAATCTGTAGACCTGAGGAATGAATTAACTGTCCATTGAAAGAATAGTTTAAAAATCAAACTAAAATCGATTCAATTTTGAAAAAAAATTGATTAAATATTTGGTGAAAATTATTTTTTTTCCAAATCGATGACAATCTCTGTAACGGTTGTTGTTTCTCATTGTATATCAAAAGAAAACTTTTTAATTCTTTTTTTCTACAGTTAAAAATGTGCAAACATATTCTTTCTTTCGTCTGATTTCCACAAAAGAAGTTATATCTATAGATAAGCTAAGAAATTCATACAATCTACAGTAGTACGAACGTTTTCGTATTAAAGGCAGAATGGTTTCTTAACCACAGTGGATGTGCTGGTGAGTATTAGTGAAAGAATATTGAGTTTTATAGGAAATGCTATTGAAGATTTATTAAGAGTTGAGTCATGTTTTTCTTTCTACAGCAGACACTGCGACAACAATAGTTCCTGCTGGCATAAGTACAACAAAAAAGGAGATAATCTCCAGCAAAGCTCAAGTAATTCCTCAGTTTTCTGGTGTTCATTTTGTTTTTCATTCACATTTGTGTCATTTTGTTCATAGAACGATACAAAAGCACCAGTTGCCTCCAGTACCGGTTATGCTGGAATGAGTTCCGTCACGAAGAAGGTAAGACAATAATCACTCTAGAAAGTGAATATTCATCAAATATATCATATTTTTAGATATCAGACGTGAAAATCAATACATCATCGAATAAAGGTACGATATAATCAATTACTATCGCGAAAATTATGCGAGTTGAAGCACTGTCATTCCTTAGAATCACTGAATTCATGATTCAGGATGTGGATGTGGGTGGGAGTGGAAGTTGTGCTCTCCTCACATCCACACCTCATACCCACATCCTTCAAACGCTGTTTGGAATAAAACTGCGTCTACATGCGTCTATTTTGTGTTTCTTGTTGATATGGGCATCGTTGTCACCAAACAAGAGAAGAATTCTTTTTTCCGATTGTCAAGGTTTTAGACAATGTTAAAGAAACAAAGAGGAAATCTCCCGTTTCATGAAGAAGACGAACACAAAGATGAATATCTCATTTGTTGCACTTTCATTTTTCGCAGAAAATAACAACAATGACGATTGTTATGCTCTTTCTTTCGTTTGATTGTAGTCATACCCACTATTCCTGTAAATGTCCGATGGGCACCCGTGATTAGGATTGAGAGTTTCTTTTCGTATAAGCTTTGCAAATCCTCATTGATGACATTCTACGAACAAGATCCTCATCGAATACTGTCAGCATCGGTTTTCTTTCTATTTTTGGTACTGCGAAAGAGTTCTGTCTTGTTTATTGCATTACTAATAGAATCTTGTGTAATTAATATGAGTCCTTCTATCATCCTCAAAAAAGACAAAAAATATCATGCTATCTTCTCACAAAATCTCTTCTCTTCTTCACTAATATAGGATTCTAGAAGAATAAAAAGAAGCTATCTTGAAAGCTTTCCTATGGAATCCGCATCAAATTTCTATCTAGTACTTTGTTAGTTCGTTGTTCAAGAACTTGTTCTGCCTGCAATGGAACTCTAGAATAGATCCTTAGTCATTTCGTTTCAAACAAAAGATTTTAGCAAAAGTGTCTCAAGGAATGAGCAGGATTTTCATTTTCGTCGCAAAAACAAGAAAGCCTTTCCCTTACCATTACGTGAGTTTTCTTTACACTTACGGATATGCAATTTCAACAAGAACCTTTTACAAGGTTTGAAGTCTTTTAGGAAACAAAAGACTCCCTTTGACGAATAAGATGAAGAATGTCTCTTTTGCAGCACTTTCCCTGCGCAATCTAGAGAGGTAGATCTCTTCAAATACAACATAGATAATCATATCTGTCCTTTTTCTTAATCATTGTAGTCGTGCACAATATTCCAGATAATGTCCGGTGGGTGCAGAATGCAGTGACTGTAGCTGGAAACAATGGATATGGCAGTGGCACCAATCAACTCGCCAGCCCTTGGGGTCTCTTCGTTGATGACGATCAAACGGTGGTCATTGCTGACTACGACAATCATCGTATCATCCAATGGAAGATGGATGGTACGAATGGACAACTCGTAGCTGGTGGCAATGGTCGAGGAAGTCGATTAGATCAATTGTATGAGCCAACAAATGTTTTAATTGACAAAGAGACGAATAGTTTCATTATTTGTGATCGAAGAAATCAACGAGTCATACGATGGTCCTGTCGTCGTGGCACAACTCAAGGAGAAATTATCATCGACAACATCGATTGTTGGGGGTTGGGTATGGATGATCAGAGATATATCTACATCTCTGATACCGAAAAACATGCGGTAAAACGATATCAAATCGGAGACAATAGTGGAACTGTCGTGGCTGGCGGCAACGGCAAAGGTGCTGATCTCAATCAACTCAACTGGCCGATGGACCTCTTTGTTGATCGACAACAGACTGTCTACGTGTCAGACTACAATAATCATCGTGTGATGAAATGGATTAAAGGTGCAAAACAAGGCATTACCGTCGCTGGAGGTCAAGGCAAAGGGAATGCTCTCGCACAATTGTCTTGTCCTCGAGGACTCTCCGTCGATACGTTGGATACCTTGTATGTTGCAGACTACGGAAATGATCGAGTAATGTGTTGGCCTCGAGAAGAAAGACAGGGGATTGTCGCTGTGGGTGGAAATGGTAAAGGAAGAGAACAAAATCAGTTGGACGGCCCTGCAGGTTTGTCCTTCGATCATCATGGCAACCTCTATGTTGTCGATTATGGAAATCATAGTGTTCAACGATTTTCCAGTGTATAAACTTCGAAAACCTATGGTTCATTTTTTTTTCGTTCCTTCTCAATCTTTAAAAAATTTGAAATTGCACCAGACGTTAACATTAAAGCCTTGGAACAGTGTGATGATGATGCGGATAAAGCAATCATAGTAGATCGATATTACTAAGATTTCAGACGAAGAAAGAGGGTGTGGGTGGTGTGGATGTGTGGGTGTGGGTGTGTGGGTGTGGGTGTGGGTGTGGGTGGGTGTG